GACAAAACATAAGTGACTTCCCAGAAGAGGAGCATCAACGAACAAACAGCAAGGAAAGATACGAGAGGATACCGACAACTGACTGGTGAGTCACCTACAATCACCCATTAGGTGGTTGACCAAACGACATGGCGATGGTGACGGTGACGTCATCAACTGACGCGCTATCTCGACGGTAACGAGGCAGTCAGTCAGGCCAGCCGAATTACCGGCGGCTGACGGTTGGTCCGAGCGCACCCTGGCGCCGGCGGAAGCGTCACGCGGCCCCCATGACTAAGTTTTTCAGAATAGCAGCGTCTAATTGTGGTGTTAAACAGGTAATCCCAGAATGGCGTCTATGTCTGTCTCAGAGGAGGAACGCGTTAGGCAGATGGTGGAGAAATACATCGTGGACAAAGTTTTTCCGGAAGGTTTAGATCATGGTACTTGCGTTGTGGAGGGCCGGTTGGCCCCAATCACCTTGAATCCGGAAATAGATGATGTGGTCGTCAAGTSGTTAAAAGAAAGAAYGGTGGTGATTATTTTCCAAACCGAATCTAAAGCATTACCTAATAAAATTAAGGAGATGCTGATGGTTGGTGTGCCAATCCGGCGGTGAACCCTTCGCTCAAAAGGGGAAGGGTTAAGTACGAGGGTTCGAATGTCTTTTCTTATGTCGTGCCCACCAAGGATATTGGCGAATTCATGGTAAATAAGGGCACGACCGCAGTCCTGTTCAGAGACCCCAGTGCTCCTGGGAGTCCTGACGTTCGTTACTCGGTTCAATTTTGTAAGTGGCCCACTAAGGAGTTGGAAGATTGCAAAGCCCAGGAAGCTGCGTGAAAATTTTGGGTCATGGCTATTAGAATTTCTCTTGGAGCCATGTTCCACCTTCATTATGTTATCGAAAATTCCATGGCTACAACGTTTAAGATGTACCCTCCCCTGCAGCAGACGTGGTGGCTCTGCTGCAGTAAGTCTTGCTGGAGTGGGGAGCAGGGGATTGTTTGGGGGGTCTGACTTTTTTTCCAAAACGAAAGCTCTTAGGAACCTTAAATAGTGAATGAGGCGAGTAGGAGCAGAGGGTGGGTTATCACGCGTCCTGTCAGTGAGGGGGCTCGCTGGTAGGATGAAAGTATGGTACAGCAGCAGCAGAGATGGTGGCTCCGCTGTAGTCAGTCTTGTCGGAGTGAGGTAAAGTGGTATGATGGGGGTTTCTCTTGAGTCGTTCCTGAAATTTGTTCTAAATCATGAAGATTGTTGTAGACATGTCTGAAGTTGCCCCAATATCTCTGAGTCAAAGCCGGGTAGGCCCGATATCTTAATTTTCAAATACTATTCTTAGGCCAATTGAATTTTTTTAGTAGGTTTTTAGTAACGAATCTTCTGAAGGTATTCGTTATGGGACGCTGGGCCCGGTTCCCAGTTCGTGCCAATTTGTGAGGTAATGCTTGTATCTATGGGACGCTGGATCCGGTTTTCAGCAGGTGTTGCTCCCCACCAATAGATGGAGTTGTTTCTCAAAAAAAAAAAAAAAAAAAAAAGATGTACTCTCCCCAGAAAGACAATCACTTCCCACGTTTGATGAATATCAAGATGGACTTAGCCCCAGAAGCCAAACAAACGTGGAAGGAGAAGTTGGAATTTCAAAAGGATGGGGAAGAATTCAAACTTGAGTTTGTCTCTCAGGCGACAGGCTGGTGCAAGAAATGTAAGTGGTTCTGTGACGCCCAACCTCACGCCCAGCGCGACTTCCTGATCGGAGTAGGATGTGGGCCTGGAAGTGCGAAAAGGGGTGTGCCAAGGATTTTTGGGAAAGTGGGGGAGTCTTAAGGGTATGAACGCAATTAGGCTAATAAGGGGCGCGTGCACAAGGGACTCAAGGTYCGATGGGGCCGGGGCACTGTGGGCGACGACTTACGGGGAACTCCCTCYGCGGTGGAGGTGGTCCCGAAAAGTTAGGCCGTCGGGGGCCGCCACGTGGCGCAGGCTGCCGCGTACTTGGATTGGGCCTTCGGAATTCCGGAGTTCTCTGTTCGCCGCTACGTCGGCAATTCACGCAAAACGTGTTGGGCCAATAGGGGGCTATGGCCGGCCACGGAACGTCGCTGAGTTGATGATACGGGAGAAGAAGGCGGAAAGGAGGGAAACCGGTGGTGATCTTAACAAATCCCGGGTGGGTGAAATAGTAGGTGTGGTCGGGGGAGGGGAAATCAGAGCATCGGGGGTCGCTAGAGGTGGCGAAGTGGAAGTCCCGCGGACATAGTCGATTCTCCATGTGATAGGGGTATCGCAGCCTTATGAGCTCGTTTATCCAAGGGGTGAAATAATCCGGGTCGTAGGATGAATCTGAGTTCCAAGATCGCGTCATGGCATCA